CGTACGCAGCGCCTGTACTCCGGGGCACTCATTCCCGGTAGCTCAGAGAGCCGGTTGCGCCGTCGCCTGTGGGTCCGTTGCTCCTGCCGCGCATATTAGCCGCGGAGCCTGTTACTCCTGTACTCCGGGGCACTCATTCCCGGTAGCCACGTTGTCGCACCAGAGCCGTCTGTTGCCCGTGTGTCTGCATCTTCAGTCGTCGCCTCCTATCTACTCTCCTCTCACCAGCCCTCCTCCTCCTCACTTGCCCCCTGTGACTGCCTCTAGCTTTGCTCATAATTGTGAACCTTAAACTATTGCTTCTTGCTTGTGCTCAGAATGTGTGGTGACATCGTGATCCACCCTGAGCTTGTACTACTTTGCTTGCTCTGCTGATTACACCCCACTTTGACTATGGGGGTGTGTCAGAATATTATGCTCTAGCCTGCAGTGGGGTGCTCTATAGCGAGTACAACCCTTCTAGGGTTAGCTATTTGTACCACCATTGTTGCTAGTGCAAACTCTCTCCTTTCTTCATTCTTACTTTCTACAGCTAACTTTGACATACTCGCTCGTCTTTTGTTCTCAGCTCCAGCTGTGAGGCTGAGATCTACGCAGGAGCCATGGCTGCACAGGAGTTACGCTGGCTGACCTACCTGCTGACTGACCTTGGAGAGCCGCCTCGTTCTCCTCCAGTTCTGTACGTAGACAACAAGGCCATGCTCGCCTTGTGTCAGGAGCACAGACTGGAGCATAGAACGAAGCACATCGCTCTTCGCTACTTCCTTGCTCGTGAGCTGCAGCAGCGTGGTCAGCTGCGCCTTGCTTACGTGGCCACTCGGGCCAACACTGCTGATATCTTCACCAAGGCTCTTCCGCCTTGCGATCATCAGCGCTTTTGTACTATGCTAGGTCTTGTGCCTACTTGGCCTCACTTGCTCACTTCTTGACCTTACTTGTACTGTGTCTTATATATATCTGCTCTTGTTTGTTTACCTCTATATATCATCCTGCATGTGAACCGGCCTTGAGGCCTTGAACCTTTGCTCAGAATGTGTGGTGACGTTGTGATCCACCCTGAGCTTTGCTTTGGTTTGCTTTGCTTGACTGGTCTTGTGACCCCTTGTGCTGGCTATCCCCCACTTCGCCTATGGGGGTGTGTCAAATTATATGTGTAACATTTATGTAGGCTATAGTACTGGGTCTAGCCTTAGGGGGTACACATATTTTCTCGACACTTGTTTTGTATCCCCCTCCAAACCCTAATTCCACACAACTTCATGCCTAAGATTCTAAGAGGGAAATGATCTCCAGCCCACGTTTTGTACTCCAAAACGGGCGTTTAGCGCGGCTCGACGCTGCCAAATCCTACATTACAGGCAGCTTCGCTTTCGAAATACATAATTTTAAAAAGCATTACAGCTTTTAAAAATATACATACATGTCATTTTTAGGCGTTTTACACTAGAAATCTCATAGTTTTTCCTACATATTTCGAAAAAAAATGCTGGAAAATCAGCCTTGCTTATAAAATAACTCTGAAATCTCAGCCTTTTTTACCTAAATCAGCCTTTTTTCGCTGAAATCTGATGCCCTGGTGGTGACACACTCAACACTAACCGATAAACATTATACCATATCGCGTAAGCTAATGTAGGGTCGATCGGAGTTTTGGAATTCGAAATAGTGCTGACGTGGAGCACGAGTGGTCGACCGATTTGACACAAATCCGAAAACCGTTGGGTTTGATGAATTTTCCTCTTATTTTCTTCGTTGCTTGCTTTGCTTGCCTCAAATGTTTCATGCGAAACTTTTTTTTTTTGGATGTACCGTTAGTTTTATAGTATAAGATATTTGAAGTGGATGTCAGTTCTGAATGGAACGTATATACCTTTCCAGCTTCCCTTAAACAAATCCTACAAAGTAACAAGCATACGCAGGCCGTAGTACCGTATCTCTAATGTTTCCCCAAGGAGAAAGGAGATGGAGAAAGAAAGCGAAAAACACATACCGTATGGCCCCGGATATAGGCGCCGTCCGATTAAAGGCGCCGGCGCTTCTATCTGGAGCATGGCGCTTATGGCCGGAACTCGATTATAAGCGCCCCCCCTGTGAAACCCTGATTTATTATAAGCGCATGCATAATTTTATTTTTTAATCCTGACTAAAACGGTAACGAATTTCGAATTTCCAGCGAGTCAACACCCCTTTTTCACTTTGCTTGACTTTCGAGGAACTCACTGGTTCGCGTCCATTCAGGATGAGCTGGCACGCGGTCAAACTGACGTGCCAATGCCTTGTGCACCGTCAGAGAATCGCTCTTGCGCGATTCTGAGTCATGACGCAGTAAAATTTCGCTTCGATTGACGTTGCGAGAATGAAATGTACAATTTGGCGCGTTTAATATGTATTTCTAGAATTGTCATTATAATTATATAAGCGCCGGCGCTTATGGCCGTGATTCAATTACAAGCGCCACCCCTAAAAAAAACAGACTTTATTATAAGCACAGATGCGCCTATATCCGGGGTAATACGGTAACAACCCCCCTCAAGGTACCCTAAGTTCACGCCCAGTCAAGACACCCAAATTAAGACACCCCATCCCGCATCCAGCATCCCATGTCCCTAAACTTTCTTGAGAGACCCTAGTAAACAGTGGCATCAATTTGTTGCGTTGTTCTTAGTGCTTTTCAACACTGTCGAAATTCACACTTGTATAGTGTTCTACAATTTGAGAGACCGAACTAAATGGCAACTAGAATAACATGCAATATCCCCCGTCATTTGATGCCTAGTGTACTCCTTTTGTGCACTTGCATTCAATAAACGTACGTTATACTGTTTTGCAATGCTTCTCATAGAGCTTGTAGCAGTGTATTAACACAAAGAGTCATGGTTCACATCGATTGCGCTGTATAATTGCAATGGATTTATATTGATGTAACTTGTGTTATACCCTGAATATGTTGCCGAATTGTATCGAGGACAAATGGCATTCGGCTCGGAGATCGCCGATCATGGCTTCTCCTGACACATTTCAAATCTGCACACATCCTCGGTAAGCCCTAGGCGGCCATTACGCGCTTTCGCCTGTTAGACATGGGTAGACTCACCCGTCCCTTGCATTCCGAGAAGATTCGCTGACGAGCTAGCGTGACATTTCATAATCATTGCACGAAATTCCATTATATGAGAGTCGCGTAGTAATATCCGACGATTCACTCCTCGACTTTTCTGTTGATTGTGTCAACCGCGTCGAGCCGCGTCTATTTCTAGGCTAGACGCGGCTGACGACGCAACCAGCAGAAAATTCGAGCCCTCACAAGCAGGCTCGTTCTTTGAGTCGACTCAAAAGGCAGGCTCCCACGCGTCAGCCGCGTCTAGCCTAGAAATAGACGCGGCTCCGTCCCTCTGCCATGGCTGGTGTTTGGAACGTGAAAGACCCCCCTTTCACGTTCCCCCCTTCACGATCCCCCCATCGCACTCCCGCATCGCGCCTCCCCTCGTCCTGTTCCTGTTCCCCCCGTCACGTTTCCTCCATCGCTTTTCCTTCGTCACGCGAGCCCCCCCTGTGGCGGCGCCTTAGATTACTCTGCAGCCAGTTTTTGTGGCAACCTGGTAATGAAGAATATAATTTAAAACAGCATTTTTCAAAAACCCCTATCGCGCCGGCTTTGCTTGCTCCGCAGCTAGCTCTTGTAGCACTCCTAGCGGGACAGGCGGGGGAGAACCTACGCTCCCCCCCGTGTTTCCACGATATCCGCGTTATAAGATACAACCTGAACTGTTACCTGCCTCCTCCCTTCCCGTATCAATCAACTCCTCTCCTCCCCCTTCTACCCACAACAACCCCTCACCCTCCTCTCCTCCTCTTCCTTTCCCCCTTCTAACCCCCTCGCCCCAACCCCCTTCCGTCTACCCCCCCTTCCCCACCCCCCTGTTCCATCCGCAGGCTGCCGCCATTTTAAGTGCCACGTGGCCTCTTGAGATCTTCAACCCAGCCTGCGGCCTCCTTGAGATTTGTCAAGGTGAGCTTTTAGCAAGTAGGTCTTCCGAGCCGAACAGGAGGGGAGGTGCAAGTAGTCTTAGAAAAGGCGGGCTTTTAGTTGACTCAGAAGACATATAATCTGTGGGAAAGGGTTGAGGTGGTTGTTCAGTTTTTGGAAGGTTGCTTGTATGCGTAAATGTATACATACATATGTATATGTATGGCGGTATTAATATGCAAGTATGTTTTCGTTTATGTATATTAATTGTATGGATGCAGCAGCTAGGTAGAGATGGGCACTGAGTCGAACCAGGTGGGGTTGGCTGGAGGATTAATTTGAGCCGACCTGCCTTAAAGGGATGGGGTTCGGTTTGGTCGACCGGCTGGCAACTTCTGGCCCAAAAGTCGGGTCGGGTCGGGTCGGGTCGGGCCGGATTGAGTCGGATCAGGTCGAGTTGGGTTGGGCCGGGTCCGGTTGATTCGGGTCAGGTCGGGTTGGGTTGGGTCGCGTTGGTTGGGTCGGGTCGGGTCAGGTGGGGTTGGGTTGGGTTGGGTTGGGTTGGGTCGGGTCCGGTCGGGCCGGGTCGAGTCGGGTTGGATTTGGTCGGGTTGGGTTGGATTGAGTTGGGTCAGGTTGATTGAACCGACCCGACCCGACCCGACCCGACCCGACCCGACCCCACCCGATCCGACCCAGGCCGACCCATTTCTCGTCTCTAGTTCCTTCTAGTTCCGAAAGCTGCTGGTGTGTGCTCCTTCTCACAAATGCCATTTGACGTGGGATGTATGAGCAAAAGAACTGTCGTTGCTGCTGCAGTAGCGGTTCTGGGCAGCCAGCCTGGGAGGGTGAATTGCGAATGGGAGTGACCTGTGGAAGTGCCGTTTTCAGATCAAGAGGTGAGGGCGACCAGGCCACCCGCCTGTCGGAGAGGGACGTGGTGAAGGTGAAGGTGGTTTCTTTTCGTAGGCGCGCATTCAACCCTCATCGCATCCTGTTGCTACTTCCAACGCTCATCCATCATCACTGGCAGATGGAGGAGGAGCTGTTGCTGCTGCAACATCAGTTCCAGGCGGCTCAAGAAATGGACGTCGCAAGTCTGCTCTGCTTGTGCTCATGCATCATTCTTTGTCGCGTTCATTACATCATCACCCAACGGCAGATGGACGAGGAATTGTCGCTGCTGCAGCAGCAGTTCCAGGCGGCCCAGGAGGTGAAAACAGCTGGTCTGGTCTGCTTGCACGCACTCATGCCCCCTTCCCGTTCCCAATCTCGAACACTACCCAATGGCAGATGGACGAGGAGTTGTTGCTGCTGCAGCAGCAGTTCCAGGCGGCGCAGGAGGTGAAAGCAGCGACCAGGCTGTCGGAGAGGAACGTGGTGGAGCTGGTGTCCAAGCTCACTGCCATGGGGCTGCTGGGAGACGACCTCCTGTACTCGCTTAACGGGAAGGAATACATTACTCAGGTACTGTAGTTGTGCTTTAACAATTGAATCACTTGTTGTCATTGAGAAGAGGAACGAGGTGGAGCTGGTGTCCAAGCCCACCGCCATGGGACTGCTGGGAGATGATCTACTGTACTCGCTCGACGGCAAAGAGTACATCACGCAGGTGCAGTATTGTGGTTGTGTAGTCACTACACACAGGTACAGTAGTTGTGTATCAACAGCCATGCGGCTGTCAGAGAGGAATGTGGTGGAGCTGGTGTCAAAGCTCACCGCCATGGGGCTGCTGGGAGATGATCTGCTCTACTCGCTGAATGGGAATACATCACTCAGGTACAGACAGTAACCATACATAGACTATATCACGCAGGTACAGTAGTTGTACTATGAGCAAATATGTACATATACATATATGTGTGTGTGTGTTTGTGCGCGTGCGCGCGTGTGTGTGTGTTTATATATTATATGTTACACCAAGCTCTTCTTTTTTCATTCAGATTTTTTTCCCTCTTTCCCCACTCGTTTTTATTATTTCCCAGGAGCGACTGCAGCAGGAGGTGGAGGAGGAGGTGCGGCGACGTGGCAGAGTGTCATTGGTGGACTTAGGAACGCTGCTGAACGTTGACCTCTTCTACTGTGAGCGGGCGGCAAAGAGCATTCTAGAAACTGCCAAGGCGCAGGAGCAACCTTGGGTAGGTGTCTTCTGTACTGTTACAGTCAGCCCATGGTCACAGTCACATTCCTCATCCTCACCACCATGCCGTACTTTTAGTGAGCCTGGGCGCGCTGCTGAGCCTGGACCTGTTGTACTGTGAACGGGCGGCCAAGAGCATTCTGGAGGCCGCCAAGGCACAGGAGCAGCCGTGGGTATGTGTCTACCGTACTGTTACAGTCAGCCCGTGGTCACAGTCACATTCCTCATCCTCACCACCATGCCATTCTTCTTGTAAGCCTGGGGACGCTGCTGAACGTGGATCTCTTTTACTGTGAATGGGCGGCCAAGAGCATTCTGGAGAATGCCAAGGCGCAGGAGCAGCCACCATGGGTATGTATTGCGTTTTGCAAGGCACCGTGCTCACAATCACACTCCTCACCCTCACCACCACCGCCACCACTCCACTGGTGGACCTGGGCACGCTGCTGAACGTGGACCTCTTTTATTGTGAACGGGCGGCCAAGAACATTCTAGAGGACGCCAAGGCGCAGGAGCCGCCGTGGGTAGGTGTCTTCTGTTCTGTTACAGCCAGCCCGTGCTCACATCACAATCACATGCCTCATCCTCACCACACACCATGCCATACTTTGAGTGAGCCTGGGCACGCTGCTGAACGTGGACCTCTTCTACTGTGAACGGGCGGCCAAGAGCATTCTGGAAAATGCCAAGTCGCAGGAGCTGCCGTGGGTATGTATGTGTCATTGGGAACAGAGATGTATGTACTGTGTTTGCACATGCAATGCAGTCAGTCACCATTGGGAATGGGAATGGTGCTGAACGTGGATCTCTTCTACTGTGAACGGGCGGGCAAGAGCATTCTGGAGGACGCCAAGGCGCAGGAACAACCGTGGGTAGGTGTTGGTCGCCATTGAGAGCAGCGATGTATGTATGTGGTGTTGTGAATTTGCACATGCAGCACTACTTACAGTGGACCTGGGCACGCTGCTGAACGTGGACCTTTTCTACTGTGAACGGGCGGCCAAGAGCATATTGGAGGATGCCAATGCGCAGGAGCAGCCGTGGGTATGTATGTGTCATTGGGAACAGAGATGTATGTACTGTGTTTGCACATGCAGTTACCATTGGTGGACTCGTTTGCACCCTACCTTTCATGTGCTCCTGCCACGCTCAACAGGTGCAGCTGGTCTGGTGCAGGGCAAGCTGATCACACACGACTGCTGCTACGGGTGGCAGGCGAGGTGGATGCAGCTTGCAGCTGTAACCAACCAGACACTCACGGATACACCACATACAACCTCTCATAACATCGTTCTCTTCGTGAACATAAACAGGTGCAGCTGGTGCAGGGCGAGCTGATCACACACGATTACTGGGACGGGGTGGCAGACGAGGTGGATACAGCAGCTCTGACTAGCCAACACACCCAAGCATTCATTACATTGTTTCCCCCCTTGCTCGTGAGCAGGTGCAACTGGTGCAGGGCGAGCTGATAACACACGAATACTGGGACGGGGTGGCAGATGAGGTGGATGCCGCCCTGCAGGAGAGCGGACAGGTGGCGGTCTCTGATTTGGCGATGCGCTTCAATGTGGGCGCCGAGCTCATGGCCTCCATTCTCTCATCGCGCCTCGGATCGCGGGTGGGTGAGGTTTTGCTGTTTGAGGGGTGCGGGGTTTATGTCAGGGTTCTGGGTTTTATATCTGTTCTTGAGCTTCAACGTGGGCGCGGAGCTAATGGCTGGCTTCCATTCTCTCATCGCGCCTAGGATCGCGGGTGGGTATTGTGCCATTTGGGGATTGAGGGGTGTGGGGTTTATTATTGTAGGGTTCTGGGTTTGTGTGTCTGTGCCCGCCTGTTCTTCAACTCAATGTGGGCACCGAGCTCATCGGCTCGATTCTCTCATCGCGCCTGGGATCGCGGGTGGGTGCGATCTAAGGTTTTCGGGTGTGGGGTTTACTGCAGGGTCTGAGTTTAGTTTATGGTAGGGTTCTGGGTTTATTGCAGGGTTCTGGGTTTTGCGTGTCTGTGCCTGCGCCTCAATGTGAGTGTGGGGCTCATGGCCTCGATTCCGTCGGCACGGCTGGGATCACGGACGGGGTGGGTGTGTGCTGGTAGGGGTTTTGCATTGCAGAGGTGTGTGTATCTCTGTGTGGGAGTCCTTTCGAGTCGACTCAAAAGTCACCGTGTTGCAGAGGTGTGTGCATCTCTGTGTGGGAGTCCAAGATTGTGTGTGCACTCCTCCTCTGATAGGTTCGAGGCCCCGGAGCTCATGGCCTCGATTCTGTCGGTGCGGCTGGGATCACGGGTGGGGTCTGTGTGTGCTGCTGCTGGGGGTTTTGCATTGCAGAGGTGTGCGTATCTCTCTGTGGGAGTCCAAGCATGTGCGTGCGCTCCTCCTATGATAGGTTCGAGGCCGCGGAGCTGTTTCAAAGAATTTTAAAAGATCTGAGTTCAGGTAATGTGTGTGCGGTGCTGCTCTGATGGATGGGATTAAGGCCATGGAGGTCAGGAGGCCATGTGTGTGCCTCAGGTCCTGTCGGAACACCTTGATTGATTCGGCTGGGTGCCGTTTGGGTTTTGAGACGTCTCAAAACATCTCTTTTATCACGTGGCCCTGGAGGTCAGGAGGCCATGTGTGTGCCTCAGGTCCTGTCGGAACACCTTGATTGATTCGGCTGGGTGCCGTTTGGGTTTTGAGACGTCTCAAAACATCTCTTTTATCACGTGGCCATGGAGGTCAGGAGGTCATGTGTGTGCCTCAGGTCCTGTCGGAACACCTTGATTGATTCGGCTGGGTGCCGTTTGGGTTTTGAGACGTCTCAAAACATCTCTTTTATCACGTGGCCATGGAGGTCAGGAGGTCATGTGTGTGCCTCAGGTCCTGTCGGAACACCTTGATTGATTCGGCTGGGTGCCGTTTGGGTTTTGAGACGTCTCAAAACATCTCTTTTATCAAGTGGCCATGGAGGTCAGGAGGTCATGTGTGTGCCTCAGGTCCTGTCGGAACACCTTGATTGATTCGGCTGGGTGCCGTTTGGGTTTTGAGACGTCTCAAAACATCTCTTTTATCACGTGGCCATGGAGGTCAGGAGGTCATGTGTGTGCCTCAGGTCCTGTCGGAACACCTTGATTGATTCGGCTGGGTGCCGTTTGGGTTTTGAGACGTCTCAAAACATCTCTTTTATCACGTGGCCATGGAGGTCAGGAGGTCATGTGTGTGCCTCCGGTCCTGTCGGAACACCTTGATTGATTCGGCCGGGTGCCGTTTGGGTTTTGAGACGTCCCAAAACATCTCTTTTATCACGTGGCCATGGAGGTCAGGAGGCCATGTGTGTGCCTCAGGTCCTGTCGGAACACCTTGATTGATTCGGCTGGGTGCCGTTTGGGTTTTGAGACGTCTCAAAACATCTCTTTTATCACGTGGCCATGGAGGTCAGGAGGTCATGTGTGTGCCTCAGGTCCTGTCGGAACACCTTGATTGATTCGGCTGGGTGCCGTTTGGGTTTTGAGACGTCTCAAAACATCTCTTTTATCACGTGGCCATGGAGGTCAGGAGGTCATATGTGTGCCTCAGGTCCTGTCGGAACACCTTGATTGATTTGGCTGGGTGCCGTTTGGGTTTTGAGACGTCTCAAAACATCTCTTTTATCACGTGGCCATGGAGGTCAGGAGGCCATGTGTGTGCCTCAGGTCCTGTCGGAACACCTTGATTGATTCGGCTGGGTGCCGTTTGGGTTTTGAGACGTCTCAAAACATCTCTTTTATCACGTGGCCATGGAGGTCAGGAGGTCATGTGTGTGCCTCAGGTCCTGTCGGAACACCTTGATTGATTCGGCTGGGTGCCGTTTGGGTTTTGAGACGTCTCAAAACATCTCTTTTATCACGTGGCCATGGAGGTCAGGAGGTCATGTGTGTGCCTCAGGTCCTGTCGGAACACCTTGATTGATTCGGCCGGGTGCCGTTTGGGTTTTGAGACGTCTCAAAACATCTCTTTTATCGCGTGGCCATGGAGGTCAGGAGGTCATGTGTGTGCCTCAGGTCCTGTCGGAACACCTTGATTGATTGGGCTGGGTGCCGTTTGGGTTTTGAGACGTCTCAAAACATCTCTTTTATCACGTGGCCATGGAGGTCCAGAGGCCATGTGTGTGCCTCAGGTCCTGTCGGAACACCTTGATTGATTCGGCTGGGTGCCGTTTGGGTTTTGAGACGTCTCAAAACATCTCTTTTATCACGTGGCCATGGAGGTCAGGAGGTCATGTGTGTGCCTCAGGTCCTGTCGGAACACCTTGATTGATTCGGCTGGGTGCCGTTTGGGTTTTGAGACGTCCCAAAACATCTCTTTTATCACGTGGCCATGGAGGTCAGGAGGCCATGTGTGTGCCTCAGGTCCTGTCGGAACACCTTGATTGATTCGGCTGGGTGCCGTTTGGGTTTTGAGACGTCTCAAAACATCTCTTTTATCACGTGGCCATGGAGGTCAGGAGGTCATGTGTGTGCCTCAGGTCCTGTCGGAACACCTTGATTGATTCGGCTGGGTGCCGTTTGGGTTTTGAGACGTCTCAAAACATCTCTTTTATCACGTGGCCATGGAGGTCAGGAGGTCATGTGTGTGCCTCAGGTCCTGTCGGAACACCTTGATTGATTCGGCCGGGTGCCGTTTGGGTTTTGAGACGTCTCAAAACATCTCTTTTATCACGTGGCCATGGAGGTCAGGAGGTCATGTGTGTGCCTCAGGTCCTGTCGGAACACCTTGATTGATTCGGCTGGGTGCCGTTTGGGTTTTGAGACGTCTCAAAACATCTCTTTTATCACGTGGCCATGGAGGTCAGGAGGCCATGTGTGTGCCTCAGGTCCTGTCGGAACACCTTGATTGATTCGGCTGGGTGCCGTTTGGGTTTTGAGACGTCTCAAAACATCTCTTTTATCACGTGGCCATGGAGGTCAGGAGGCCATGTGTGTGCCTCAGGTCCTGTCGGAACACCTTGATTGATTCGGCTGGGTGCCGTTTGGGTTTTGAGACGTCTCAAAACATCTCTTTTATCACGTGGCCATGGAGGTCAGGAGGTCATGTGTGTGCCTCAGGTCCTGTCGACACACCTTGATTGATTCGGCCGGGTGCCGTTTGGGTTTTGAGACGTCTCAAAACATCTCTTTTATCACGTGGCCATGGAGGTCAGGAGGTCATGTGTGTGCCTCAGGTCCTGTCGGAACACCTTGATTGATTCGGCTGGGTGCCGTTTGGGTTTGAGGGGGAGGATTTAGGTTTTGACGTTTGAGGATTTGGTTGCTGAGGTGAATCTGTATGTGCTGTGCGGTGCTGTGCGAGTTATGGCTCTGATGTGATTGAGGGTGGCTGCTCATGGCCTGTCGGAAGTGGGGATTGTGAGTGGGTGTGTGGTTGGCGTCAATATCGAGGGTGCTCTGAGCACAGCTGTTTGTTCAAGGGGTTTGTTCTTCTTCTGAGTGATTGTATCTGTTGGGTTTCTTGTGAGCGACTTTTTAGAATTCTCAAAAATCGCTCACAAGGCAGGATTCATTTTACAACCCCGACTCGCCGCCCCTCCTTCCAGATTCACAGCACTATGAGTGGCGGTCAGCTCTTCACACGCTCCCCCACATGGCTCATTTGCGAGCCCGGTTAATGAGAGAAGAGCCCGATCCGTTTGCAGCCCCAAAATTGACTCTACCCTCCCCCTCTTCTTATTGCAGATCCATGGCACCATGAGTGGCGGTCAGCTCTTTACAGGCGCCCACATGGCTCATTTGCGAGCCAGGTTAATGAGAGAAGTGCCTATACCTTCTTTTGCACGTTCAAAAATGACCCTGAATCTTACCTTCACCCCCCCTCCCCCCCCCTCCTCCCTTCCCCCCTTCGTATTGCAGATCCACGGCACCATGAGCGGTGGGCAGCTCTTTACAGGCGCCCACATGGCTCGTAATGGTAGCCCTGGTGATGAGAGAAGTAACTGTGGCTCCTTATAAGGCTTCAGTAGTAACCCTAACTATGTTCCCCCCTCCCCGCCCTTTATTTGACCAGATCCACGGCACCATGAGCAGCGGGCAGCTATTCACAGGCGCGCACATGGCTCGCATGCGCGCTGCTGTGAGGGGCGCAGCGCGCGCTCTTACCGAGGCGGCTAATATGGCGGATATCTGGCCGTCTGTGGCCCGGGAGCTGGGGAGGGACTATGGGAGGGAGTATGGGGATGGGATGGAGGTGAGGCGGGCAGGCGTGGATGCTTCAGGCACTGCTGCTGCTGCTGGGGGTGGTGCTTCTGCTGATGCTTCTGCTGATGATTCTGCTGGTAGTGGTGGTGATGTTGGTGATGGTAGTGTTGCTGCAGCTGCTGGTGCGAGTGGTGAGCCCATTACAGCAGCAACAGCGGAAGGAGCGGTGGATTCAGGCGCCAAGGCAGCAGCCAAGGGGGAAGCTGCAGGGGGAGCAGAAGGTGGAGGGGCAGGCGGAGGGGGAGTAGGGGGAGCCGGAGTAGGGGGAGGGGGAGGGGGTAAGGCGGAGGCAGTGGGGGCGGCAGAGGCGGCGCTGTTTGCGCGGGTGTTTGGGGAGTGTGTGGCGGAGGGGGAGGTGCGGGGGAGCAGCAAGGGCGGGGGCACGGGATGGGTGCCGGAGATATTCGCGCAGCTGCAGAGGCAGAGCGTTGAAGCGTTCTTCTCACAGGTGAGTGAGTGGGCACCTTAGTCTGTCCCTTGAGTTCCTTACTTAGAGAGATAGATGAAGGGGGTGAGGTAGCAGAGGCATAGGGTGGGTGCCGGAGATATTCGCGCAGCTGCAGCGGCAGAGCGTGGAAGCATTCTTCTCGCAGGTAGGTTGGCTGTTCTATTTTTGGTTCCTTCTCACACTGGTTCTTTAGCTTAGTTGGAGGATTGCTGGAAGTGAGGGAGCAGCAAGGGCGGGGGCACGGGGTGGGTGCCGGAGATATTCGCCCAGCTGCAGCAGCAGAGTGTTGAAGCGTTCTTTCCCAGGTAAGTGAGCCTCTGTTTCCTCACAAGAGGAGAGGGTATTTTTGAGACGTCTCAAAAATACGCTCTCTTCACGTAGCTGCAGAGGCAGAGTGTTGAAGCCTTCTTCTCGCAGGTGAGTGAGCCTCTGTTTCCCAACAAGAGCTCCACTCCACACTTGCCCACTCCTCACACACCATGCCTCGTGCTTCCGTGCTATCTCCTCCTCTACTCCCCTACTCCCCTGCTGCCCTGCTGCCCTGCTCCTCTACTCGCCTGCTCCCCTCCGCCCTTGTTCAGAACGCCTTCATAACCTTCTCTGCGGTGCGCCAGCTGGGCAACCCCCAGCCGTGGCACTACCGGGGCTCCCTCTCTTCGTCACTACCCTTCATCCCCTCCCTCTCCTCTTCCCCTGTCCCTCCTTCTCCATCCTTCCTCACACCCCTCCACCCCTCAGAACGCCTACATCACATTCTCTGCAGTGCGACAGCTGGGCATCCCCACCCAGCCCAAGCAATACCTGGAGTCTCTGTTTCCCGACAAGAGCAGTGCACTGCTGCTGGACTCGACACTTGCCCACTCACTTCTCACTCACACCAGTTTCATGCCATCTCCACCCCTCCACACACCTCTCCACCCCACAGAACGCCATTATCACATTCTCTGCAGTGCGGCAGCTGGGCATACCCCAACCGAAGCAGTACCTGGAGTCTCTCTTTCCCGACAAGAGCAGCGCACTGCTGCTGGACTCCACATTTACCCTCTGCTCACGCCATTTCCATGCCATCTTCACCCTGCTGCACATCCCCCCACCCCTCAGAACGCCTTCATCACCTTCTCTGCAGTGCGTTAGCTGGGCATCCCCCAACCAAAGAAGTCCCTGGAGTCTCTCTTGATCATCCCCGCACTCACTTTCTCCTTTTCCCCTTGGCCCATCTCCACCCCACAGAACGCCTTCATAACCTTCTCTGCAGTGCGGCAGCTGGGCATCCCCCAGCCCCGGCAGTACCTGGAGTCACTGTTTCCCGACAAGAGCAGCGCGCTGCTGCTGGACTCCACACTTGTCCACTCCTCATTGGTTCACCAGCTGGATGCTGCTGTGGAAGAGGCGATAGCTGCCAAGTCATGGTGTGTGGGTCGGTGTCAGTGGTATGGGGTTTGCTGTTGTGGTTAGTGTGAGGGGACATATCTGCCTGTAATGCTGGTCTCGACACTTGTCCACTCCTCATTGGTGCATCAGCTGGATGCTGCTGTGGAAGAGGCCATCACAGCCAAGTCATGGTGGGTATGTGGGTGGCCTGGGAATTGCTGTAGGGAAGACTTGTGCTGCTGCTGGACTCGACACTTGTCCACTCCTCATCGGTGCACCAGTTGGACGCTGCCGTGGAAGAGGCAATCGCTGCAAAGTCATGGTGGGTTTGCTTTGCTGGTTGGTGGCATGGGGAGATGGGTGTGCTAGTTGCCATTAGAATTTCTGTGGCAAGCAGTGAGAGGAGGAGACAGCTGTGCTGCTGGACTCCACAATTTTCCACTCCTCATTGGTTCATCAGCTGGATGCTGCTGTGGAAGAGGCAATCGCAGCCAAGTCATGGTGGGTGGGTGTGTTGGTGGCAGGGGAACTGCAGTTGTGGTCAGTGAGAGGGGACGAATTTGAGTGCTGCTGTACTTGACACTTGTCCACTCCTCATTGGTGCGATGCAGCAACAGCCCTCCCCCCAGCGCTCTCTCCCTCTGACTGTGCCCTCTGCTGGGCTTAGAGGATTTACTATCTTAAAATCCTCCTCTCCTCTTCCCTCTTTCCCTCCAGGTGCGATGCAGCAACAGCCCTCCCCCCAGCACTGTCTCCCTCTGACTGCGCTCACCTGCTTCAGCTCTGCCCTGTGCTGCTCAGAGCACAGAAGGCCGCTGCCCTTGCTGCTGCCAGTACTGCTCCCAGTGGTGCTGCTGCTGCTGCTGCTGGAGAGGGGCAGGGGTTGGATGGGGCGGAGGTGTATGGTGATACATGTGTCGTCTCGTCTGCTCTCCTGCAGGTATGTTGTCACTTTTGAGGAATCTCCAAAAGTGACTCCATTTCGTAAGGATGTGTGCATGCATGGTGCCTGCATTGCATGCGTGCATGCATACTACAGAGATGTGGCTGAGTGTGCTATGTCGTCTGCAATAATGAAGGCTCTAATGCTGTCCGTATGGTTGCACATCCCAACCCCCCTCCAGTCCAACCTCACCAGCACATCTCCTGCCAGTTTCCTTCTTGTACCGATGCCCCTTGTTCGCCCTCTCCCCACCTTCTCTTCGCCCTCTCTCCACCCTCCGTTTCTCTGCCGTCACTGTACATTGCAGCCCATTCAACAGCGCCTGCAGTCGATTTTGCGCAAGAAAGCATTGGCAGCAGCAGCGGCAGCAGTCTTTCGTGAAGTCATGTCAATTTAAAAGTTTTCCTGTTCCCTGCTGTCGGTATTACCCTGCCGTTGCTGTTTCTCTGCAGTCTATTCACCAACGGCTGCAGTCCGTTTTACATGAGAGAGCAGTGGCAGCGGCAGCAGCAGTTGTGAATTAATGTCATACACATGCCTTCCTGCTCTGTCCCCTACGTTTCTTGTTCGCCTGCAGTCCATTGACCAGCGCCTGCGGTCCGTTTTGCACGAGAGAGCAGTGGAAGCAGCAGCAGCAATGCGAGCATCCACTAGGAGTGCGGCAGCAGGGGGTGGGGGAGGAGGGCAAGAGAAAGGCGGAGAAGGGAAGGGAGGAGAGGATAAGGAGGAGAAGAAGGGAGGGAGAGGAGGGGGAAAGGGAGGAGGGAAGAGGGGTGGAGGAAGGGAGATAGAGGAGGAGGAGGAAGAGGAGGAAACAGGAGGCAGAGGAGGGAAAGGGAAGAAAAAGGGAGGAGGGGGGAAGGGAGGGAAAGGGAAAGGTGGAGGAGGAGGGGGGCGAGGAGGGAAAGGGAAAGAGGAGGAGGAGGTGGAGGGGTTGAGGGGAGGCACGGAAAAGAAAGGCAGAAAGGACGAAGCAATGCCGACGGTGGCTGAGATGACGCGATTGGTGCTGACGTGGCATCCTGACCTTCTGGAAGCTACTGTTGCTGGTATGCTCCGTTAGTATGTGTTTCAATATAGTAGCTGGTACGATTTTAGTCCGAGCCTGTTTTAAAGCGATTCTTATCCAACCACTCCTTCCACCACCACTGCTCCTTTTATCCCATCCCATCGCACATCTGGGTTTCTTCCCATCCCATCCCCATCCCTACCAGATGACGATGCTGCTGATCACGATGAGGCTGATGTTGCTGAGGGAGGGGGTTCGGCCGGCCTTGCTCGTCTGCTAGTGGCCGCCCTGAAGCCTGCCCTAACTGCTTATTGGGCGGAGGAACGTCGCCGAGCCGCGGCTTTTACGTCCGGAAGCACCACCGAGACTCGGCGACAGGTTCGGATATGCACTTATACGTTGCGTGGTTAATTATTTCAGGGCTATCAAAGCATTAAATCAACCAACGAGCCTTGCCCCACTATTTCTGACAAAGGTTTATGCATGATCAGCTATGCACTTGAAACAGATTACGGTTTTTTTGTATTTTTGTCCATTTATTGTGTATTCGCATGTGGCAGGTGCAAGAGCACTGCTTTTTAACAACTCAAATATTGTCTTAACCAAGAGTGTGTGCGCATGTGTGCATATGGCACGTGCGGGAGGCTGTGGAGCGTCGAGTAAATGTGATGCTGGGGCAGTTGGAGCTGTATGCACACGGGGCAGCAGCTTTCAACTCGGACGACGACGCAGGCACGGTTTCAGCTGTTGGAAAGTAATGTCTAACCAAGTGTGTGCCGTGCACATGGCAGGTGCGGGAGGCAGTGGAGTCTCGTGTCAACGCCATGCTGGGCCAGCTGGTGCTGTATGCACACGGAGCAGCGGCTTTCAACTCGGACGAAGACGCAGCCACTGCAGTGAGTGCTTTTCTATCTGTATTCAGAAAGTGTTGCAAATGAATGCCATGCTGGGCCAGCTGGTGCTGTATGCACACGGAGCTTGAGTTCCGGTAGAAGCAAGTCAAAAGGTTACCTGCGCTGCCTGTGCACATATCTACGATTCCCACTAAGCAGTGGTGTATGGATAATGGAAGCAGCGGTGTTTCATGTCTGGATGAAGACGTCGCAACTACTGTGAGTGTGCCGGTAGAACCATCTCGTTGCTTGGCTGGCTGTGAGTCGGCTGTCCTACTACTGCATGTTTCCGTTCGGGCCAGTGGCTTTCAATTCAGACGACATGCGGCCACTGCTTTTCTGTGCGGGTAAGCTGGTAGAAGCAATGGCTGCACCCAAAAAATAATGCAACCTCTCCTTTTTCTGTTGTCCTAGCACGTCTCCCTCACCACTCTCTGATAATACTATCACTTTCCCTCCTTCCACCACATTGCATATTCTCCAAACCCTAGTCTCCTCCTTATCCCTCTCCCTCTTCCATCCCTCTCTCCCTCTCTTTCCGCCCACTTGCACCACAGCTTTGTCTCACACCACGTCGTCCACGCTCTAGTAGTTTCTTCCCCCCATGTTGGTGTTGCTTTTGAAAATTCTCAGAAGCACCACCCTCTCTCTAGTTTCTTCCCTAACCCTCTCCCTCTCCCCCTCCCCCTCCCCCTTCTACCAGGCCCTCATTTCTCGCCACGTTCTCCGAACCTCGGCTTCCGAGCCTGTCGATCTGCTTCTGCACGCCGTGCTTCTGGACCATGACGTCATCACTGCCCAGGATGACGCCAGCAGCAGCAGCAGCAGCAGCAACGAGAGTGGGACGCAGACTGGGGAAGCAGCGAGGGGCGGAGGAGCAGAAGTAGCAGCAGGGATGGGGCGAGAAGAACAGGGTGGAGAAAAACAGAAGGATAAGGGAGCAGCAGGAGTATCAGGAGCAGCATCAGTGCTCCGGTCAACCCCGATTGTGTACACGCCAGCAAAGAGAGCAGCTTTAGCGAAGCTGCTCCCAGCAGGAGGACCCAGAGAGAGGACGCAGAGGATGATAGCGGCCCTGGAGGGCAGGGAGGTGGAGGCAGTGCTGCCGCCCATGGAGGAAGTTGCCGAGAAGGATCTCGGCATCCGGCTCAAGCGGCCGGATAAGAAGGCTGAGCGGGCGCTGCTCTTCTCCATGAAGAAGGTGAGGAGTGCGCTTGGGGCTTGGTACTTAGAGCAGCTCAAGCGGCCGGAGAAGAAAGCTGAACGCGCTCTAGGAGTGCGCTTGGGGCTTGGTACTTAGAGCAGCTCAAGCGGCCGAATAAGAAAGCTGAGCGCGCTCTACTTTTTTCAATGAAGAATGTGAGGAGTGCGCTTGGGGCTTGGTACTTAGAGCGGCTCAAAACCCGGATAAGAAGGCTGTGCGTGCTCTCCTCTTTTCAATGAAGAAGGTGTGGACAGCGCTAGGCGTGTAGACCATGCTAGAGCGATTACTATGGTCTAGTTTTGAGGCGCCTCAAACCTAGCGTGCTCTCTACTTTTCAATGAAGAATGTGAGGACAGCGCTAGGCGTTTGCACTATGCTAGAGCAAACATTGTGGGGGCTTCTTTGTTCGTTGGAAGTGTTGGCAACAGCACTTCATGTTCAGACTCTTTTGAAGCAAATACTGTGCCAGCTCGTGCTGGCTCTGTGCTTTGGTTGCTGTTCAACCCATCTCTCTCTTCACCCTCCCTTCCTTGCCAACAGAGTCTTCAGCTGTGCTAGGGGCAAAGGAGGACGCTGTTTTTGTACGAAACCCGCCCTCCTAAACCCTAAACCTCAAACCCTTGTTAGTTGTTGTACACCTGCCCCTTCTTTTTGGATGCCGTTTTGAGGCATCTCAAATCAACCTCTTCATTTTCCTTCTCTTCACCCGCCCCTTCCCCGCCAACAGAGCCTTCAGCTACAGCTCGAGGCAGAGGAGGATGCTGTTGCAGCGCTTCCCCTCATTGTGGCTCTTCTCTTCATGCAGGTACTCCCCTCTCCCTTCCTCGCTTTCTCCCTGCCCTTTCTCCCTGCTTCTTCTTTTGCTTTTGCTTTTGCTTCTTCTGACTACTCCTCATTCTTCTCCTCTTTCGTCCGCTCTTTCTCCTGCTGCTTTCCTTTGGCTCGTTCTTCCGTTTCTGCCTTTTCTCCCTTCCGCACCTTCCTTGCTTCCTTCTCTCCTCCTTGCACAGGTAGTTTCGTCATCATTGCTCCTTATTGCGTGAGCACAGACGTTCCGTTCCTCATTCCCTCCTATCATTTGCACCTTTAGCTCATCTCTTCCTCCCTCCCACCCAGCCGCCTTTCCCTTAACAAAACCCATTACCTGATTTCCCTCATGAACTCCTATCCATTATTGCCCCTCTTTGTTTCCCCCCACTACAGGCACACAACAAGGGCCTTCAGGCCCCTGGTCGCGCTCTCTCTGCCGTCATCTCCCATCTCAAGCCCTCGCTCTCTCCCTGTCATCCCTTTCCCCTCTGCCTTACCATCTCATCCCCTTCCCCCACACGCAGGCACACAACAAGGCCCTTCAGGCTCCCGGTCGCGCCCTCTTTGCTGTCATCTCCCATCTCAAGCCCTCGCTCTCCCCTGCAAACTTCTCTATCTTTCCCTCCCATTCCCCTCCCTCCCCACCACAGGCACACAACAAGGCCCTTCAGGCTCCTGGTCGTGCTCTTTCCGCTGTCATCTCCCATCTCAAGCCCTCACTCGCTCCCCAGGACTTCTCCTCTCTCTCCGCGTTGCACTCTGCTGTTGTCGCGGCTATTGGCAAGCGCGCAGCAGGGGGCAGAGGGCAGGCGGGGGAGGGGGAAGGTGGAGAGGAGGGAGGGGAGGAGGGGGTGGATATGGAAGTACTGTTGAAGGGGCTCAAGGAGGTTGCTTTGGGGAAATCCAAGGAGGTTAAGAGTGGTGGTGATGAGTGATGTGTTTGTCGTTGTGACAGACTAGGAAATCGCACAGCAAGGAGGATAGGGCAGGCGAGGGAGGGGGAGAGAGGGGAAGGAGGGAGGGGAGGAAGGGGTGGATATGGAAGCACTGTTGAAGGGGCTCAAAGAGGTGGCTCTAGGGAAAGCCAAGGAGGGTAAGAGTGGTGGTGACGAGTGATGTGTGCATCGTTGGGACAGACTAGCCAAGCGCACAGCAGCGGGGAGAGGGCAGGTGGGGGAGGGGAAAAGTGAAGATCGTCATGCACATGCGCTTCCCTCCCTTCAAACTCGTATGCATTCTTGTGCCTCGCAATAAGCACATGCCATACTACTATACTATACATACAAGAATACACTGGGGCTAAGTTCAATATGCTCCAAGTGACACAACGGCAGTGGCAGTACGTGCAGACATGGCAGTTCGAAATTGTCCTTGAAATACTGTAGTAAGGGTCTCTGCTTTGCACGCTTCATGGACAGATGTTCCCTGCATGGTGGATTCAGGAATTTTTAATGGCGTTTAGCTGTTTGCAGCAAGGGAAGAGAGGAGGGGTTGGGGGGGAGGGTGGCCTGGTGCCTAGTGTTGTGGATTGTGATTGGCTCACTTCCTCCCTCTTCCTATGTCTAATTTTTCCTGTATTCCGTTGTATCTGTAGAATGTCATAGCCGATAGTACAATCTTGTAATCTATAGCGGATAAATTCTTGGGCCTGTGCGGCTCGATCCCCTGGCCCAACCATCACCAAGTCTCCCCGCTTGTATCGCCAAGCTTGTTTGCCTCCACTTTCCGAGGAGAGAATGACTCCAGTGGCCAAAACGGTGATTCACCATCCCTCGCGTGGCCACGAATGACTCGAGTGGCCACCAAATTTGGTGATAATGACTCGAGTGGCCACGCCAGGGGATTCTTGCTGGCTTTTTTTCCACGGCGCATTATCCTAAGGTGATAAAAAAATAAACCCCGTGGCTTACGGCATGCCACTCGGGAGCCTCAACCCTAAAATTTTAGGGTTGAGGCTCCCTCGGATGGCATGCCTTCCGAGTGGGTTTTAGTTTTTTTCTTGCCCGCGGTCACTAATGTGTTCGCGCATTTATGCCCCCGCAGAGCAGTTTATGATCGCTGATATTTTTACCGCGCGCTCATTGGTCGGGCATTGGGCCGAAAATGACCGTGCAACTACTGTTGGTCGTGCATTTTTTACGGTTTTGTGTACAGTGTGTGGGCGAAATTTTCGGGTGCGGAACAGAACGGAACACTACCTAAGGATACCACTCGCACGAATGGGGAATTTCGTGGCTACAAAGCCCCGTAGGGTAATGCGCTAAAGAAAAAAAAGCCAGCAAGAATCCCCTGGCGTGGCCACTCGAGTCATTATCACCAAATTTGGTGGCCACTCGAGTCATTCGTGGCCACGCGAGGGATGGTGAATCACCGTTTTGGCCACTGGAGTCATTCTCTCACTTTCCGAGTCTCGTCTCCAGTTTCGAAGCGCTTATCTTTCGAGGCACATAGCACGAGAGGCCTAGGGATTGGGTATGGGTACATCCCCACCCGTTGTTCTCGTTAGGCAGTAGAAATCCGCGACGTGCATTAACACTCCAGCAGTCTAGCTAGAGTCAGGCACGGCAATGGGGTCGGGTTACCACGCCGAGGCAGGATTCGCCACGGCTCACGAAACTCGCGAAGTGCGTCGTGATTCGAGTTGCCCTTCGCCGAGCGTAGTTACTGACGACGTTCGAATACCCCACGACAGTTTCGCCAGGTCGCAGATTGTCGCCAGATCACAGCCCAGTAACGCGATTGGCTTGATACCCGCTGTAAGTGCAGCTGCTGCAGCAGCGGCGGCGGCGGCGGCGGCGGCGGCTGCTGCGTCATTTGCGGCGACTCCTAGACCAGCGAATGCCCGATCCAGTGTCTGTCACGTCGTGGGTACCCTGAACCGCCTTCTTTCCAAACCGATCCTCGCGCGATCGCCGTTCGCACATGTACCCGTTACAAGTCGTCCCGTTAGTAGCACCTCGGCTTTACCCCCCGGTGTTCCTCACAGCGCGCCGAGTTCCGCTCTCGCGATCCTCGCTTCCCGCGCCAGTCAATTCTCCCACGATCCCCTCATTCGAATTAGTCACATCGCATACCATCAACGGCTCCTGTCCGCCTACGGATCCGCGTCTTCGGCATCGTCCCTTGTCCAGCTCGTCAAATCTAGCCTGCTTCGCCCGCCATTCGCGCTGTCCCCGTTAGTAGCCTCACCCGCTAACAGAATCGGTTCGCCGGCCATCAGATCATCGTTATTGCACTCAGCAGCAACCTTGGGATCATCAGCAGCGGCGGGCAGAGCGGGAGGCGGTTCGGGATCGTCAGTAAGACCAGATCGGAGATTTAAACTGCATCTACCCAAGCATGGCCCGCACAAGCTGCTCCCGCGTCCCCCAGCGCGCGGGAAGGCGCATCCCGCAGCTCCCCCCCCACCCGCGCCCGGTTCCCGCGGATCCGCCGCAGCCTCCCGCTTTTCCGCCCCCAGCGCTGGCCCCAGCGGATCCGCTGCCCCCCCGAGTTCCGCTCCCCGTTCCGCCCACCGCCCCGCCTCCCGCTCCTCCCCCCGCGCCCCCTCTTATTCCCCCGCCGCTAGACCACTGGGTGTTGAGCCACGTGCTTTGAAGGCGAAAGCAGTGACGAAGGAAGTGACTATAACGAAAGGAGTGGCCACGGGGGCGCTTAAAGCGAGAGCTGAGAAGCCACGAGTTACCACTCCTGGAGCAGTAACAGCAGCCACAGACGCCGGCAGGGCGGCAGGCTCACGAGCTGGGAGTGCTGCTGATGGCTTGGCAGAGGCGGCTGATGGCTCACAGGTACAGAGAGGCTTTGGAGTTGATTCGAATTAGAGAGGTTTGTTTGTTTGTTTGTTTGTTTTTTTTTCTGTTCTCTTTGTTTTGTTTTGTTTTGTTTGTTATGTTTTGAAAATTCTCAGATATCGATCAGGTGCATGTAGAGGGGAGTGTTGAGTTGATGCATTTGAGACAGGCGTCTGATAGCTCACAGGTGGATACAGAGCGGGGAGAGGCACGGAAGGGAGTGGGGATGAAGATGGTAGTTGTAGGTAGCTACGGAAGCGAGGAAGGGGGAGGAGAAGCTGCACACCCGCGTACTGATCTCACCCGCGTTAAGTGTTTTACACACGACCGAAACGAAAATGCGTCCAGCTATTATGTCAACCTTTCACCCCTCCCTGCTCTCGCCTGCGCCTCTCATGCCTCGCCCCTGTCTGCCCGCCTCCCTGCCTGCAAAGCACTCAGACCACCAGCGCACTGCTGGTCCCTTCACTGCACACCCCCTGCTCTCACCTGCGCCTCTCATGCCTGTTCCTGTTTGAGCCCAGCACGGGCTTTAAGCAGGAGGAGTGGCAGCAGCAGCTCACCCCATCTCACCTCTACCTGTAGCCTGTCTGTGATTTGGCTGTGCTTCTCTCCGCCTGTCTCTTTCTAAAGCACTCAGATCACCAGTGGCCCCAGCACAGGCTTTAAGGAGGAGGAGAGAGAGATAACGGAGCAGCACCCCCCATCCCTACCTGTGACCTGTCCTTATCCATGATTTGGCTGTGCTTCCCTCTACCCCCCTCCCTGCAAAGCACTCAGACCACCGGTGGGCCCAGCACGGGCTTTAAGGAGGAGGAGTGGCAGCAGCAGCTGGCGCTGTTTGCTGGTGACAGCAGCCGCAGGGAGATGGTTCTGACGGGCAAGGAGAGCCGGCGGTACGAGCAGGACATCAAGAGGATCGCTTCTCAGTTCCGCCTGCACAGGTGAGGAGGGGTTTCGGGGTTAAGGGTTCAGGATTTACGGTGGTGGAGGGGAGTGGGGGGTCGTTTAGGTTTCAAGTGGAGGGAGATGGGTCTGACGGGCAAGGAGAATATTAAGAGGATTGCTGCCCAGTTCCGCCTGCACAGGTGAGTAACTCACCGTGAATTGTAAATCTAAGGTCGTAGTGGGCTGGGCTTTTGAATAGGGAGGTATCTTTCGAGTTGAGAGAGATGGTTTTGACGGGCAAGGAGAGCCGGCGCTACGAGCAGGCGATCAAAGAGGATCGCTGCTCAATTCCGCCTGCACAGGTGAGGTTTTAGGGGTTAGGGGTTTAGGATTTTAGGGTTGTTTTGAAATTTGATGAGGAGGGCGATGGGATTAGGTGAGGTACCGGTTTAGGGGTTAAGGAGACGTGGGTTTAGGGAGAATGTGTGTGCGTGAGGCGCCTCATAGCAGGTGTCAGAGGGTCCTTGCTGAGGACTAGAAACTTGCTGTTCATTCGCCTTTCCCTCGTTCCCGCGTCTCTCTCTTCCCCCCTTTCCCTCTTCCCCATCAGTCGCATTTACAACAAGTCTTTCGTCCTCAGCAAGGACCTTCTGCCTCTTATCAGGCGCCTAACTCTCACACTTTCTCTATTTCCCCAACTCCACATTCCCCTATCCCCCCTTATGAGGGACTTGTTGTACAACAAGTCTCTCTTCCTCATAAAGGACCCTCTGCCTCTTATGAGGTGCCTCACTCACACACTCTCCTCCTCTTCACCTTATACTACCTTTTGAGACGTCTCAAAATTCCTCTTAACCCTGTACCCCCTTCCTCTCCCCTCTTTCCCTCCCTATCCCCCATACATGCAGTCACATGTACAACAATTCTCTCGTTCTCAGCAAGGACCCTCTGCCTCTTACAAGGCGCCTCACTCATACACATTCCCTCCCCCCCGTTCCCCATTCCCCCTCCCCACCACTCCATCCCAACAGTCGCATGTACTACAAGTCCTTAGTCCTCGGCAAGCACCTCTGCCTCGTATCAGGCGCATCCCTCAACGTCCCCCACCCCGTCTCCTCTTCCCCCCATCTCCCCCAATCTCACCCCCCCTTTCCTTCCATCCCAACAGTCGCATGTACTACAAGTCCTTAGTCCTCAGCAAGCATCTCTGCCTCGTATCAGGCGCCCTACCCCAGCAACCTTATCTCCTCTTCCCCCCATCCCTCCCATCCTCCCCCCTCGTTCTGTCTCCCCCATGCAGTCGCATGTACAACTAGTCCCTCGTCCTCAGCAAGGACCCTCTACTCTACCCTGTATGACGCGCCTCAATCACACACATCTTAACCGTTCACCTCTTGCTCAACCCCAATTCCCCCCCATGCAGTCGCATGTACAACTAGTCCCTCGTCCTCAGCAAGGACCCTCTACTCTACCCTGTATGACGCGCCTCAATCACACACATCTTAACCGTTCACCTCTTGCTCAACCCCAATTCCCCCCCATGCAGTCGCATGTACAACAAGTCCCTCGTCCTCTGCAAGGACCCTCTGCCCTGTATGATGCGCCTCATCACACACATCTAATTCCCCTCTTACTCGTATTCACCACTCCCCTCTTCCCGCTCCCTATACAGTCGCCTGAACAACAAGTCGCTCGTCCTCAGCAAGGACCCTCTGCCTCGTATGAGGCACTTCACTCACACACATTCCCCCTCTCCCCCGTTCCCCATTCTTTCTCCCCCCTCTCCTTGAGCAGTCGCCTGTACAACAAGTCCCTCGTCCTCAGCAAGGACCCTCTGCCGCACTACCGCCCAGAGCTTGACTCCCGCCGGCCACAGCGACAGGTGGGTGCAATGCGGTGCAGTGCGGTTGAATGTGGGCTGCAGGGATATGGTGTTGGTACACGAGACTAGAATGCTATGTGGTGCAGTGTGGTGTACACTGTGACTTAGTGCAGTGTCTTATACTGGAAGAGTGGGCCGGGGGGCGCTGCGGTGCAGTGCGGTGCTTCTTGGTATGTGCCAGTGTCGTGAGTTATATCTCTGTGAAGTGTGTTTCTAGAAGTGGCTGGCTGGGTAGTATAGTTTATTTCCCCCAGTCCCCCACGCTCTCAGACATCTGGCTTTCCTTCACACATGTACTGTCGGTCGATTCTTCCCTCTTTGCCACGGTTCTAAACTCATAGTGGAGTAGCAGCAAGCCAGAAGAAAACGCTTAAGCAACAATGGATCGAGACGGTAGAACGCTTCCCAGAAATTCAAATAGGTCAAGAGACTCCCTTTACACATGTTCGGTCGGTCAAGTCTTCCCTCTTTGCTAATCCCATTTGTCTTCTCAACTCGCCCCTGCACCTAGATTTCCCCCCAGAGGTTCTTGAGGTTCTTGAGGGGATTGGCTCAGTGGTGGCGGATGCAAGGGCAGACGGCTGAAGTGCTCTATAGCTCTCCCTCCTTCTCACGTGTGGGGCTGATTCTTTCCTTGTTGCTTCTCTTCTTTCTCCTCCATCTCTTCACTTGTCACCGCAGCTTAGTTTCCCCCTGAAGTTTTAGAGGCGAGAGACAGAGTGGTGGCGAGTTCTTAATCCTTCACAAGCGGCGAGGCCTGAGTCTTGATTGTTCGCCTCTCCTCCTTCTCTTCTTCTCCCCACTTTCCCGTGCAGCTGAGTTTCCCCCCAGAAGTTCTTGAGGCGATTGACAAAGTGGTGGCAGATGTAAGGGCAAAGCGGGAGAGAGAGGAGAGGGAGAGAGAAGAAAGGGAGAGGGAAGAGAGGGGGAGGGAGGAGAGTAAAGCTGCTTTTGCTGGTGGTGGTGTTGGTGGAGAGAAGCGGGGCGTGGCAGGGCGAGGGCTGACGGGGTTGCAAGGGGAGAAGGGCGAGGAGGAGGGAGGGGAGGAGGAGGAGGAGGATGGGGGGGAGGAAGAAGAGGCGGGGGCTGTTCGTGGTGGAGCGAGGGAGGAAGCGGAGGAGGTGGAGGAGAGACGGAGGTGGCAGCTGTGGAGGATCAATGAGAGCTTGAAGCGAAGACAGCAACAATGGCAGGTACGTGTTTGGAGAGGTGGGGGGCGGGGGGGGGGAGGGCGGGGAAGGGGATGGGGAGGAGGAGAGGAGGAGGTGGCAGCTGTGGCGGATCAATGAGAGCTTGAGACGCAGTCAGCAACACTGGCAGGAATGGGGGGGATGAAGGGCGGGGGAGGGGAATCGGGGGGGTTGGGGAGGTGGAGGAGAGGAGGAAAGCGCAGTTGTGGAGGGTCAATAAGAGCCTGAGATGCAGACAGCAACAAGTGCAGGTATGTGAAGGGGGAAAGAATGGGGAAGAGGGAGGGGAGGGGGGGTTGGGGGTGAGGGGAGGGGTTATAGCAGGACTCAATAGTATAATAGAATCTATGGTATGCAATCAGTTGATTGATTGACCTTTAAGTTTCGACCATGTACTAATCATTAGTACACCGGCACATTCACACATGGACACATAGAGACACACGCTTGTTGTCTTATATGCGTTCATGCATACATAAGTTCTGTCGTCATGTATCAACCCAAATTCATCCATGTTGGTTCTCTCTTGACATACACTACATTTCATACATGCACGTATGTGCACACATGCATGCCCCCCCCCCCCCCCCACACACACACACACACACACACATGCTGTTTTCTTCCCTGCAGGCATCACCCGAAGGGGCATCCATACTATGTCTCGTGCCCTCTGCGTGTTCCTCTTCCCTGCAGGCATCACCGGAAGGGGCATCCATGCTGGCGTTGAGGCAGAGCCTGCCTGCATGGAAGGAGCGAGAGCGGCTGCTGCAGGCAGTGCGAGATAACCAGGTAAGCTTGGGTTTGGATCAGGTTCAGGTGCAGTCTTACATCGAGCTCCGACCTAACAGCTCTTGCTGGCGTTGAGGCATAGCCTGCCTGCATGGAAGGAGCAAGAGCGGCTGCTGTAGGCAGTGCGTTATAACCAGGTTTGAAACAACTGGGTAACCGTGGTGGTGATTCCTTGTGCTACATTCAGTCTAAGACAACCAGGTAACCGACCTTGTGTAATCTCCTTAATTCGCCTGCCCCAGGTGGTGATGGGCAAGTCAGGGCGTGGCAAGACCAGGCAAATTTGAAATCACTTCTGAAAGGCCTCAGAAGTGATTTCAATATGACCTTGTGTAATCCCCTTAATTCGCCTGCCCCAGGTGGTGGTGGAGATGGGCAAGTCAGGGCGTGGCAAGACCACGCAGCTGTCGCAGTACCTGCTGGAAGATGCAGTGGAGTCAGGGGGAAGGAGCGGGAGAGTAGGGCAGGACAAGGCAGCTCAGGGAAAGGGAGCGCAGAGCCCTATCGTCTGAACAGCCTTCCCATTTTCCGTTCAACACTGGTGGTGGTGGCGTTGGTTGAAACCAGGTGTGGCAAGACGACACAGCTGCCACAGTACCTGACAACAAGCAGAAAGAGAAAGAACAACTGATTTCGAATTCCTACGTATGCATTCTATATGTGAGACGTCTCAAAAGTTGAAGACCGGGTGTGGCAAGATAACGCAGCTGCCACAGTACCTGCTGGGAGACGCAGTGGAGAAAGGGCAGGGGAACACAGAGATCCATTATTTGAACAGCGTTCCCACTCCCCTCCCCTCCCACTGCCATGCCATGCTATGCCATGCTTGTTGTGTCTGGTGAGACAGGATGTGGGAAGACCACTCAGCTACCCCGATATCTGCTAGAAGACGCAGTGGAGGCAGGGGAACGAGTGCAGAGCTCCGTCATTTGCACTCAGCCTTCCTGCTCCCATCCAACTGCCATAATATGCCATGTCATGTGATGCAGGTGGTGGTGGTGTCTGGCGAAGCCGGATGTAGCAATACCACACAGCTGCCGCAGTACCTGCTAGAAGATGCTGTGGAGGCAGGAGAAGGGGAGCAGAGCTCCATTGAATGCACAGCCTTTCCACTCCCATCCCCTCCCCTCCCACTCCCGTCCCCTCCCACTGTCATACCATGCTCTAGGTGGTGGTTGTGTCTGGTGAGACAGGATGCGGCAAGACCACTCAGCTACCCCAATATCTGCTGGAAGATGCAGTGGAATCGGGGCAGGGAGCGCAGAGTTCCATCATTTGCACGCAGCCCCGGAGGATATCGGCAGTGGCGGTGGCAGAGAGGGTGGCTGCTGAACGGGGGGAGAGCATCGGACAGTCGGTGAGAGCTCTGAGTCAACGTCGGTCCATTAGGTAATGATACATTAGAAAGGTGATTGCGTAAGAGGGCTGGGTTTTGATTGAGGCGCCTCAAAAGTCGGGCAATCGGTGACAGCTCTGAGACAACCTCAGTCTGTCAGGTCATGATACATTAGAAAGGTGATTGCAGTAAGAGGGCTGCGCGTCCAGTGTACGTTGAGAAGTGTTGTTTTTTCTCAGTTACTAGACTGAGAAGTGTTGTTTTTTCTCAGTTACTAGACTGAGAAGTGTTGTTTTTTCTCAGTTACTAGACTGAGAAGTGTTGTTTTTTCTCAGTTACTAGACTGAGAAGTGTTGTTTTTTCTCAGTTACTAGACTGAGAAGTGTTGTTTTTTCTCAGTTACTAGACTGAGAAGTGTTGTTTTTTCTCAGTTACTAGACTGAGAAGTGTTGTTTTTTCTCAGTTACTAGACTGAGAAGTTTAGGGTTTAGGCTTGAGCACGAAGATACTATGTTGTCCAGCCCTTGTTTCCTTCCCTAAGGGTTTAAGGTAAGGTGTTGGGGTTAGGGTTTGGGGTTTGGGGTTTAGGCTTGAGCACGAAGTTACTATGTTGTCCAGCCCTGGTTTTTTAAACTGAAAAACCTACGCCCCTCATACCCACGGTACCGAACACCAAGGACTGTTAGAGGAACGCAGGAGCAAGGCCCCACATCTGCTGTTCTGCATCACGGGCGTGCTGCTGAGACGACTGGCATCCGACCCTTGTCTCTCCATCCACTGCCTCTCCCCATCAACTCCCACTCCCACCCCTACCAGGTGGGGTACCAAGTACGCTTGGAAGCGCGCAGAAGCAGGGCCACGCACCTGCTGTTCTGCACGACTGGCGTGCTGCTGAGACGACTGGCGTCCGACCCTTGTCTCTTCATCCACCCACCGCCCACCCACCCCCACCTTTTCCCCTTCACGCACCAGGTGGGGTACCAAGTGCGCCTAGAAGCGCGCAGGAGCAGGGCCACCCACCCGCTGTTCTGCACTACCAGCGTGCTGCTGAGGCGACTGGTCTCTGACCCTAGTCTCCCCATCCACTTCTTTCCACCCTTTTATGTGCCAGGTGGGTTACCAGGTTCGCTTGGAAGCACGGAGGAACAGGGCCACGCACCTGCTGTTCTGCACCACGGGGGTTCTGCTGAGACGACTGGCGTCCGACCCACCTTTGCCCACATTCCCCCTCCACTCCCCCCCTCTCTGCCACATCCCTTCTCAGGTGGGATACCAGGTGCGTCTGGAAGCTCGAAGAAGCAGAGCCACGCACCTGCTGCCCTGCATCCCTGGCGTGCTGCTGAGGCGACTGGCGTCTGACCCTCCATTCGCCTCTCCTAAAATACCCCTCTCCTGTTTCCATCCACCCCCATTCCTACCAGGTGGGATATCAAGTCCGTCTGGAAGCGCGCAGGAGCAGGGCCACGCACCTGCTATTCTGCACCACGGGCGTGCTGCTGAGGCGACTGGCTTCTGACCCGCTGCTGACAGGCGTGACTCACATCGTGGTGGACGAGATTCACGAGCGGGGCATGAATGAAGGTGAGTGCAGGGGGGAGGATATGGAAAAGGGGATAGGAGGGGTAAATGGGTCATGGGTTGTATGCACTGGTGTGCGATATTCTGCTGCTGACGGGCGTGAGTGACTCACATCGTGGTGGGTGAGATTCACGAGAGGGGCATGAACAAGGGTGAGAAGAGGGAGGAGAGCGAGGAGGGTGGGGAGGATTGCGGCACAGGCCTTTCTACATATGACCCGCGCTGCTGCCGGGAGTGACTCACATCATGGCGGGCGTGATTGACGAGCGGGGCATGAATGATGGTGAGTGCGGGCGGGGAATGGAGAGAGGTATTAAGGGTACGGGGGCTGTGCATTGGCATCAAACCTGCTGCTGGCTGGTGTGATGCTTATGGGGGTGGATGAAATGCAGGATAAGCGTCTCACCTTCTCATGCTGGGGCATGAGAGGAAGATATTCCGCTCTTTCCTTCTCCTCTTCTTCCCCGCAACCAGACTTCCTCCTCATTGTCTTGAGAGACCTACTCCCCCGCCGTTTGGATCTCAAGCTCGTGCTTCCCCCACCCACCACCCTTCCCTTCCACCTACTCCTTCCCTTTCCCGTCACTCCTCCCCAATCAGACTTCCTCCTCATCGTCTTGAGAGACCTACTCCCCCGCCGTTCGGATCTCAAGCTGGTGCTAATGAGCGCAACTCTCAATGCAGACCTCTTCTCGCAGTACTTCAATGGTGCTCCCACACTGCACATCCCGGTGAGTGCTGTGCTGATGATAGCTGAGAGGTGCTTCCTGAGCAGCAGGGGTTTGCTGAGCAGCAGGGGTTTGCTGTTTCCACAGTCTCATCTCCCCTGTTTGCTCCGACTTCCTTGAATTCCGGTCAGCGCAAAGCCCCTGCCACCCTCAGCCATGAGGGCTGGGCGAGCTGCAGCTTAGGAACAACATTTTTGAGATGCCTCAAAGCACAAAAACCCTGTCACCATCTCTCCCACTCCGTTTTCCCCCGCGCTTTTCCCACCAGGGTGCTTCACCTCCCCTGTGCCCTCCAACTTCCTGGACTAATCGCTTCACGCCCTAAACCCAGAACCAAAAGATTCATGCCCTTGCCTGAGCCTCCCACTGATTCCTTTCCCTCCGTTGAACCATGTGCAGGGCTTCACATATCCTGTGCGATCGTACTTTCTGGAAGACGTGCTGGAGCTCACCGGGCACGAGGTCACTCTCTACAACCAGGTGATCCCACAGAATCCCACAGCATCCCACAGGATCCCACAGCATCCCACAGGATCCCACAGCATGCCACAGCATCTCAAAAACCTCCGTTTTGGAAGACGTGTTGGAGCTCACACAGGCCACAAGGTCACTCTCTACAGGTCAGCGCTCATTTCGCCCTCCTTATCTTCTCTCCCTGTGTTGTGGCAAGCATCTCCCAAACCAAACCAAACCAAGCTTTCTGGAAGATGTGTTGGCGCCCACAGGGCACGAAGTAACTCTCTACAACCAGGTGGGGCCCTTTCTCAACCTTGTTAAGTTAGGTCGTGTCTTGTGCTCTCTGCTTCGCGTTGCATAAAGCCTATTCTGTTGGAGCTCACAGGCCACAAAGTCACGCTTTACAACCAAGTGAGGTAACGCCCTTTTTTTATCAGCGCCCAGCCAGGTTATGACATGCCTTGGTGACTTTTGAGTCGACTCAAAAGTCACCTTTACAACCAAGTGAGGTAACGCCCTTTTCTTATCAGCGCCCAGCCAGGTTGTGACATGCCTTGCTCTCTCGCATGGTTTCCTTCTGCTCCTGTCTTCTGAGCACGTGTTGCACCTGTTGCTTCTGCTCAGCCAATGGAGGTGCTCTCGTTGCATGTTCAATCAGAAGAAACATGTGAGAATATTAAGCAGGAGAACATGGCCCAGGTGGCTTGCAAAGCAGGAGATCAACACCGTGTATGTGCAACCCTAGCCCACCTCCCACCCACTATCCCATTGCACACCCCTCAGGTGGACGACTATGGCAGTGAGCAGCAGTGGAGAGGCAAGTCACTCTTAAAACATCACTACCACACTGTACCACACCGCACCACACCGGCCCGTGCCGCACCACACCCTAACAGGTGGACGACTACGGCAGCGAGCAGCAGTGGAAGAGCAAGTTGCTGTCAATATCTGATAACACCACTGCACCACATTGCACCGCACATCACATCCCCCCAGGTGGACGACTATGGCAGCGAGCAGCAGTGGAAGAGAAGCCACCAGATGGCCCTCATGTCACATTCCTCCTCAACACCTCACCACCACACTCCACCGCACCGCACCACACCACACCACACCTCACCCCCCCAGGTGGACGACTACGGCAGCGAGCAGCAGTGGAAGCGGAGGCGCCAGATGGCCCTAATGGAGAAGCGGAGAAAGAGCCTGGAACCTTCCTTTGTCCAGGTAACTTCGTTAAGCCAGTAGGTTTCTTAGCCTTCCAGTGCTCCATTGAGCAATAGGCCATGGACGGAAGGTCTGAGGCTTCCCTTTGCTAGTGAATCGTGTTTTTGCAGTTCGAATCCTGCAACCTTACTCACAGACAGAGGTTTCCGTCTGACTGGAATTCTTCTTGCACCCACAAACGCATGTGCTTCGTTCAGCCATGTGCCTGCCGAGCCGACACATGGATATGCTTTATCTGTCATTGGTTGACTCAAGGATAACCCATCTGTCTAGAGTTTAGAGTTTATGGTTTAGGGATTGTTTGATATGCCCTAAACCCTGAACCTGTCTGTTCCTCCCTAATCCGTAGCTGTATTCCCTCTCACCGCCCACATCCAACTACCCTTCACGCATCTCTCGCCCACCACTCCTTTGCGTCGCACTCTCACCCTTTGTGCAACAATCCATGGAACGATGGACAGGCGAGGGTGTGGGTTTCTCCCTCATTGAATCTGCTCTCAAGTTTGCAGTTCGGCGTGGGCCCTGGCTGCTGGGTCAGATGAGAGTAGATGAGAGGCTGTGTTGACTGACTGTTTCGAGCCAACTCACGATCCACCTGGTTGCTTCGCCGCCACCTTCGCTCTTCCACATCCGCTTCCCTTCTCTCTTCTCCCAACGCCCCTACCACGGCCGCACAGGAAGCCTTCTCAGGCCACTCCTTTGCATCGCACTCGCCCTTTGTGCAACGATCCATGGAGCGGTGGACGGGAGAAGGCGTGGGTTTCTCCCTCATTGAATCCGCTCTTGAGTTTGCAGTTCGGCGCGGCCCCCGACTGCTGGCTCAGATGCAGAAGGAGGAGAAGACTGTTTCGAGCCGACTCACAATTTGCCCTGTCCCTTCCCCCCACCCGCATTCCCCTGCCACCGCTAACAGGAAGCCCTCGCCAACCACTCGTTTGCCTCCCACTCGCCCTTTGTGCAACGATCCATGGAGCGATGGACTGGCGAAGGTGTGGGTTTCTCCCTCATCGAATCCGCTCTTGAGTTTGCCGTGCGGCGTGGCCCTCGACTGCTGGCGCAGATGCAGAAGGAGGGGGGGAGAGAGGGGCGATGGGAGGGGGGGAGGGGGAGATTCGGGGCGCAGGAGAGGGAGGAGGAGCCGAGGGAAGGGAAGCAGGACGCAGCAGGGGTTGTAGGGAGCAGGGATGCAGGGGCGGTGCTGGTGTTCATGACGGGGTGGGATGACATCATAGGAATGAGGGACAGGCTGAGGGAGCACCCACTGCTGGGCGATGAGAGCCGTGTGCTGCTGCTCACGTGCCATGGCAGCATGCCCATTGAAGAGCAGGTGCGTGTTTTGAGCCGCGTGATGCTGCTCTCAAAGGCCATGCTGGTGTTCATGACGGGGTGGGATGACATTATTGGCATGAGGGACAGGCTGAGGGAGCACCCACTGCTGGGGGACGAGAGTAGGGTGCGGCAGCATGCCCATTGAAGAGCAGGTGCGTGTGAGGTGGGGTGAGGTGCTGAGGGGTACAGTGATTTGGTCATGCGTGACCGGCTGAGGGAGGACCCGCTGTTGGGGGAAGAGAGCCGCGTGCTGCTGCTCACATGCCATGGCAGCATGCCCATCGAAGAGCAGGTGCGTGTGAAGTGGGGGCTGTTAAGATGTCTCAAAAGCCATGTGAGATGGGTACGGTGCGGGGTCAAGGAGGTACAACAAGACAGGCTGAGGGAGCACCCGCTGTTGGGAGATGAGAGCCGCGTGATGCTGCTCACATGCCACGGCAGCATAGTTTTGAGGCACCTCAAAACTAGACTTCTCTCACGCGGATTATATGTAGATAGGATTTTTTTTGCTTGGAAATTGGGGTGTAGCTTATCAAAGCTACTGGTGCGCGCGCGACTTTCGAGTTTGCGAACTGGCGAAGATGCAGGCCCTGTTACTCACGAAGACACTGCCGAGGAATGAAGACGTGGCTCCTTGGAATTTCCAGGGCAGCCTGGATTGGTCCCCATCTTTTTGGGTTGACCAGGGTGAAGATAGCCTAGGGATTTGTAAATACGGTGGTTAGCCTTTCTTGCTTTGCTTTAGAAGGCTAGGCCTCGCTCACTTTCTTTCATTTGGCACTGATGAAGGCTTGCTAGGGGTCTCCCTACAGCCGAAACATGTTTGTCCGTGTTTTAACCACTGCTTAGTGAAGAGCTCCGACTTTACAGAACCCTATGCGAATCAGCTAGGATTTTACTACTACTGTTTTCTCCTTTGCTAAACCTTCTCCTTAGAAACTGCTGCTCGCTGGGATGTCTGAATCTACGGCAGCATGGCCATCGAAGAGCAGGTGCGTGTTTTGAGACGTCTCAAAGGCAATGCTGGTGTTCTTGACGGGGTGGGATGCCATCGTAAGCATGAGGGACAGACTGAGGGAGCACTCACTGTTGGGGGATGAGAGTAGGGTGATGCTGCTCACATGCCATGGCAGGTGCGTGTGAGGTGGGCTAAGGGGGGGTGAGGTGCTTAGGTGCTGAGGGGGATGACATCATAGGTATGCGCGACAGGCTGAGGGAGCACCTACTGCTGGGGGATGAGAGCCGCGTGATGCTGCTCACATGCCATGGCAGCATGCCCATCGAAGAGCAGGTGCGTGTGCGATGGCTGGGGTGCTGAGGCACGACCTTTACCACCTTTGTTTCAATGGGCTCTCTTCCCCTCTACCCTCCCGCCCGTCTCCGTCTCCGAAAGCACTATTCCGTTGGAATCACCAATATCATCATTCTGCCCATCAGCATTGCTGCAACCTCCATCACCACATGGCTGTAACCTACAACCATGGCTTCACATGTTAACCCCTCCCTCCGTTTCTCCACCTTCCCCTCCTTTTCACCTCCCTTCCTCGATTCCCCCTTTCCACGCTTCCCCAAGCAGAAGCTCATATTCAGACCGCCACCCCCCGGAATCACCAAGGTGATCCTGGCAACCAACATGGTCGAGACCTCCATCACCATCAACGACGTCGCCCTGACATCTCGACCCACTCGTCCCTCCGTTCCCCCGTTCCCCCTAGCAGAAACTGATATTCAACCCTCCGCCCAGCATCACCGTCGTCATCCTGGCCACCAACATGGCCGAAACCTCCATCACCATCAACGACGTAGCCCTTGTCATCCTAACACATCTCTTTCCTCCCCTACCTCCCATTCCTCTCGTTCCTTCTACCCGTCTTCCCAAGCAGAAGCTAATCTTCAACCCGCCACCTCCCGGCATCACCAAGGTCACTCTAGCCACCAACATGGCTGAAACCTCCATCACCATCAACGACGTCGCCCTGGTCATCCTAACCCCTCTCTAACCTCCCCTACCTTTCTCCCATTCCTTCTACCCATCTTCTCAAGCAGAAGCTGATTTTCAACCCACCACCCCCCGGAGTTACCAAGGTCATTCTAGCCACCAACATGGCCGAAACCTCCATCACCATCAACGATGTGGCCCTAGTCATCGACACAGGAAAGGCCAAGGAAACCTCCTACGACGCCGTCAACAACGTGCCGTGCCTGCTCCCCCAGTGGGTCTCCAAAGCCTCTGTGAAGCAGCGGCGGGGGAGGGCGGGGAGGGTGCGTCCTGGCGTGTGTTTTCATCTGTACCCGCGCCCGCTGTTTGCTGCTCTGCCGGAGTATGGCCAGCCGGAGCTGCTGCGGGCGCCGCTGCATTCTCTCTGCTTGCAGATCAAGACACTCGGGCTGGGCAACATTGGGGAGTTCCTGGGGAAGGCCATACAGCCGCCTGAGCCTCTAGCTGTGAGTTGGGGCTTGTTCAATTGGTGGATTAGAATCTGCCTGCAGATCAAGACGCTCGGGCTGGGCAACATTGGGGAGTTCCTGGGGAAGGCCATACAGCCGCCTGAGCCTCTAGCTGGGAGTTGGGGCTTGTTCAATTGGTGGATTAGAATCTGCCTGCAGATCAAGACGCTCGGGCTGGGCAACATTGGGGAGTTCCTGGAGAAGGCCATACAGCCGCCTGAGCCTCTAGCTGTGAGTTGGGGCTTGTTCAATTGGTGGATTAGAATCTGCCTGCAGATCAAGACGCTCGGGCTGGGCAACATTGGGGAGTTCCTGGGGAAGGCCATACAGCCGCCTGAGCCTCTAGCTGTGAGTTGGGGCTTGTTCAATTGGTGGATTAGAATCTGCCTGCAGATCAAGACGCTCGGACTGGGCAACATTGGGGAGTTCCTGGGGAAGGCCATACAGCCGCCTGAGCCTCTAGCTGTGAGTTGGGGCTTGTTCAATTGGTGGATTAGAATCTGCCTGCAGATCAAGACGCTCGGGCTGGGCAACATTGGGGAGTTCCTGGGGAAGGCCATACAGCCGCCTGAGCCTCTAGCTGTGAGTTGGGGCTTGTTCAATTGGTGGATTAGAATCTGCCTGCAGATCAAGACGCTCGGGCTGGGCAACATTGGGGAGTTCCTGGGGAAGGCCATACAGCCGCCTGAGCCTCTAGCTGGGAGTTGGGGCTTGTTCAATTGGTGGATTAGAATCTGCCTGCAGATCAAGACGCTCGGGCTGGGCAACATTGGGGAGTTCCTGGGGAAGGCCATACAGCCGCCTGAGCCTCTAGCTGTGAGTTGGGGCTTGTTCAATTGGTGGATTAGAATCTGCCTGCAGATCAAGACGCTCGGGCTGGGCAACATTGGGGAGTTCCTGGGGAAGGCCATACAGCCGCCTGAGCCTCTAGCTGTGAGTCTGGGACTGGCAGTATCGGTGGGTGGGCTAGGTCTGGATTCTGGATGGCAGATGGAAACGCGGTCACCCACCCAGCCAGGTGTGTGTTTTCATCTGTACCCGCGCCTGCTGGTTGCTGCTCTGCCGGACTATGGTCAGCCGGAGCTGCTGCGGGTGCCGCTGCACTCGCTGTGATGCGCCATGCATGCAGGTGGTCAATGCCTTAGACAAGAGCTAATAGAGGATGTGGAGCCACAGGGCAGGGATGAGGGCCTTTTTTTTTTTTTTTTTTCTTACCCGTGTGTTTGTGTTTCTGTAAATCCTGTGCACATGCGTACATGCATGCAGGTGGATAACGCCATAGAGCTATTGGAGGATGTGGGTGCGCTGGACAAGGATGAGAACCTCACACCGCTTGGTACGCATGCATGGCGTGGCATTGCATGGCCTGGCATGGCATGGCATGGCATGGCATGGCATGGCATAGCATGGCATGGCATGGCATGGCATGGCATGGCATGGCATGGCATGGCCTGGCATGGCATGGCCTGGCATGGCATGGCATGGCATGGCATGGCATGGCATGGCATGGCATGGCATGGCATGGCATGGCATGGCATGGCATGGCATGGCATGGCATTGCATGGCATGGCATGGCATGGCATGGCATGGCATGGCATGGCATGGCATGGCATGGCATGGCATTGCATGGCATGGCATGGCATGGCATGGCATTGCATGGCATGGCATGGCATGGCATTGCATGGCATGGCATGGCTCTCACATGCCACCACTTGGTACCTATGGCATGGCGTGGCCATACATGCTACACCCCACCCCATGCGTGTGGCATGCGCAGATGCACATTCTCACATGCCACACACGCACATGGGCAAGGATGAAAACCTCACGTCACAGGCTTTCTCTCCAACTTTCACGGGTCGGCACCTCACAGCACTGCCACTAGAGCCACGCGTGGGGAAGATGCTGGTGATGGCGGCGGTGCTATGATACCTATGTGAACCTTCTCCTTTGTTTCCTCTGCCTCCTAAAATGCCCCGCTGTCCTTTTCTCTCTCAGGCCGACACCTCACAACACTGCGTGGGGAAGATGCTGGTGATGGCGGCGGTGCTGTCGTGGCGTGTATGAACTCTCTCCTCTCCTCTGTGCTACTCCCCGTCCCAATCAACCCATCCTGCAATCCTCTCTCAGGTCGCCACCTCACAGCACTCCCTCTGGAACCACGCGTGGGGAAGATGCTGGTAATGGCAGCAGTGCTGTCATGTGTCAACCCGGTTCTCACTGTAGCTGCAACTCTCAGTGAACGAGAGCCGTGGGTGCGACCAGCTGATAAGAGAGAGGTGAGAATGAGGGGGAGATGAAGGGGTGATGGCGGCAGTGCTGGCGTGTGTGAACCCTGTTCTCATTGTGGCGGCCACTCTCAGTGAACGAGAGCCATGGGTGCGACCGGGTGATAAGTGAGAGGTGAGCAGGGCGTTATGTGAGAGCAGGTAAGGCAGACAGATGAGAGCGAGATGAAGGGGGATGAAGGGGTGTGATGGCAGCTGTGCTGTCGTGTATGAACCTTGTTCTCCACCGAAGTTCACACGCTCATAATACATCCATCCATCCATCCATCCATCCATCCATCCATCCATCCATCCATCCATCCATCCATCCATCCATCCATCCATCCATCCATCCATCCATCATCCATCCCTCCATCCATCATCCATCCATCCATCCATCCATCCATCCATCCATCCATCCATCCATCCATCCATCCATCCATCCATCCATCCTTCCTTCCTTCCTTCCTTCCCTCCCTTCCTAAGCCGTCCTTCCCATACCCATATTTTTTCTAGAATTAGGCACCACCCATTCCCAACCCATCCCATCATATCCTATCCGCCCCCTCCCCCGTGCCCTCCTCCCCCACCATCGCTTCTGAACCCGTGCATCAGGTGTGCTTGCGCGTTGCAGGGGACGATAGCAGCGACCGTTTCGCAGCAGTGAGAGCGTTTGAGGGGTGGGTGGCAGCTCTAGGATCCGAGAGGCAGCACACATTTCCTCCCACCCTATCCCATCATATCCCATCCGTCCCCTTCCCCTCGCCCTCCTCCCCCACCTTCTCCCCTAAATCTGTGGATGCTCCATCATATCCCATCCGTGCCCTTCCCCTCGCCCTCCTCCCCCACCATCTCCCCTAAATCTGTGGATGCACCAGGTTGCGGACTCGGTTCGTCTGCGCTTTGCAGGGGACGACTGCAGTGACCATTTCGCAGCAGTGCGGGCGTTTGAGGGGTGGGTGGCAGCTCTGGGGGACCGACCAACAAGCCATTTCCTCCTCAACCCATCATATTCCAACCTCGCCCTCCTCCCCCACCTCCCCTTTAACACTATCTATCAGGTGGCTGATTCAGTGCGCCTGCGCTTTGCAGGGGATGACTTCAGTGACCACTTCGCAGCAGTGCGGGCATTCGAGGGGTGGGTGGCGGCTCTTGGGTCAGGGACCAGCCGCAGCGATGGGTACAATGCCGCTCGGGCATACTGCTACGACCACTTCCTATCGCACCCCACCATGCAGGCACGTGGTTGTGTTGTAGGCACGTGGTGTTCTGTTCCACAGTACTGCTGCTCTGGGATCAGCAACCAGCCGCAGCGATGGCTACAGCGCTGCTCGGGCGTACTGCTACAACCACTTCCTATCACATCCCACCATGCAGGCACGTGCTGGTGTTATGGATACATCCTGACTCTGTTTCAACTTTCTTTCTCTTCTTCCGCGTTCTGAATTCTAAGGTTCACGCGCACTTTCACAGCGCATAAGGTCGGCAGCAAATTTGGTGGTGTACTGTACTGTGTTGTGAGACGTCTCAAACCAATAAATGCTGTGGCCGTAAATGATCTTTCTTGCTGGTTATAAGCACAAATGTTTCCTAGATTTCTCATTTCTCGTTGTAGCTCATTTATTCTTGTCATTTAACTTGTGTTGTCTTGTCCCCATCGTTTCTTTTCCTCGTCAGTCACACTTTCTTCTCCAGTTTCCTGTGTGACAGACTGGCAGGGCCCAGCACAGACTGGAAAGGGCCAAATTATCACAGTCAGCCAAATTATCCCTTTCCAGTCTGTGATGGGCCCTGCCAACTGTCTCGAGATGGTAACCGAATCGTATTATTTTCCGACTGTACCATCTGTTGCCCTGCCTATCCGCCAGGCCATAGCAGGGCTGAGGCGGCAGCTGCTGGGGACACTTGGCGAGCTGGGATTGGTGGATGTGCACCGGGGCATGGATGAGGCCAACAGCAGGAGCAACGACCCCGAGTTTGTGCGAGCTGCGCTGCTTGCTGGGCTGTTCCCTGGTGTTGCATCGGCAGTGGTGAGAGTGAGGGAGTGTGATATTGGTGGATGTGTGTGAGTGGTTGTGTGTGTGGGATTGGGGGTTCTGAATGAGGCCAACAGCAGGAGCAACGAACCGGAGTTCGTTCGAGCTGCGCTGCGCTGCTGGCTGGACTCTTCCCTGCAGGTGCTTTTGAGGCGCCTCAAAAGGACTGTTCCCAGCAGGTGCTGCTGCTGTGGTGAGAGGGGGAGCAAGGGGGTGTACCGTGTATGTGAGTGCATGCGCGCGTGCGATTGTTTTATTTGTTGATTCATGTGACTGCATTTGTTGACTGCATTGCCCGATTCAACTCTGCACAGCCGTTCATCCGTTCACCTGCTGCCAGCCACCCACTTCATATCATGTATGTTCACCTCCCTTCACCTCCTCTCACCTCCCTGTGTGCTTCTCGTGTGCAGAAACGAACACGCAGCACAACATACAAGACGGAGGAGGATGGGGAAGTGAATATACATCAGGTGTGTGGTAGTGCGGCGGGTTGTGTTGAAAAACCTGCCTCGGAAGGCGGGATGGGGAGAGGGCTGTGCGTGGAAGCATTTTTGAGGCGCCTCGGGAGGGGGAGAGGGCTGTGCGTGGAAGCAAGTGAGCACAGCGTTTAGCATTATGTATAGGATGGAGGAGGACGGGGAGGTGAACATATAACTGCCTTATCAAACAATATGTTATTTTGCATCACCATTACTACCTCCTACACCAGAAAGAGGCACCTGATTATCTGGTAGGCTTGTTCACCAGGTGCATACGTAGTGTAGTGAGATGAGATGTGTGAAATTCCTCATTCAGAGTTGCTCAGCTCAAAGCGTTGTTGCCTCATACGTATTGCTCCTCTGCTTCTCCTCCTCATTGTTGCCTTTCACCTTCATCACCTTGATTCGTTCGTTGCCATCGATCCGACTTGTAACCCTTTCCACCCATCGATCTCTGCTCTCATCATTCCCTCCACTCTCTAATCTCATCATTCCTAACTGGCAGTCATCAGTAAATGCTGGTCTCACCCGCTTCCCCTACCCCTGGCTCGTCTTCAACGAGAAGGTACTGTGAAATGCCATGCCCTGGCATGGTAGCACCGCATGGCATGGTAGCACCGCATGGCATGGTGGCACCGCATGGCATGGTGGCACCGCATGGCATGGTAGCACCGCATGGTACAGCATGGTGAGGCCTTCCATAAAATAGCATAATGTGGCATGGCATGGGATGCCACAATGTTGTATTACCTCACGTCCGTCCTTCCCAGCCACTCACCCGTCCCAGCCACTCACCCGTCCCAGCCACTCACCCGTCCCAGCCACTCACCCGTCCCAGCCACTCACCCGTCCCAGCCACTCACCCGTCCCAGCCACTCACCCGTCCCAGCCACTCACCCGTCCCAGCCACTCACCCGTCCCAGCCACTCACCCGTCCCAGCCACTCACCCGTCCCAGCCACTCACCCGTCCCAGCCACTCACCCGTCCCAGCCACTCACCCGTCCCAGCCACTCACCCGTCCCAGCCACTCACCCGTCCCAGCCACTCACCCGTCCCAGCCACTCACCCGTCCCAGCCACTCACCCGTCCCAGCCACTCACCCGTCCCAGCCACTCACCCGTCCCAGCCACTCACCCGTCCCAGCCACTCACCCGTCCCAGCCACTCACCCGTCCCAGCCACTCACCCGTCCCAGCCACTCACCCGTCCCAGCCACTCACCCGTCCCAGCCACTCACCCGTCCCAGCCACTCACCCGTCCCAGCCACTCACCCGTCCCAGCCACTCACCCGTCCCAGCCACTCACCCGTCCCAGCCACTCACCCGTCCCAGCCACTCACCCGTCCCAGCCACTCACCCGTCCCAGCCACTCACCCGTCCCAGCCACTCACCCGTCCCAGCCACTCACCCGTCCCAGCCACTCACCCGTCCCAGCCACTCACCCGTCCCAGCCACTCACCCGTCCCAGCCACTCACCCGTCCCAGCCACTCACCCGTCCCAGCCACTCACCCGTCCCAGCCACTCACCCGTCCCAGCCACTCACCCGTCCCAGCCACTCACCCGTCCCAGCCACTCACCCGTCCCAGCCACTCACCCGTCCCAGCCACTCACCCGTCCCAGCCACTCACCCGTCCCAGCCACTCACCCGTCCCAGCCACTCACCCGTCCCAGCCACTCACCCGTCCCAGCCACTCACCCGTCCCAGCCACTCACCCGTCCCAGCCACTCACCCGTCCCAGCCACTCACCCGTCCCAGCCACTCACCCGTCCCAGCCACTCACCCGTCCCAGCCACTCACCCGTCCCAGCCACTCACCCGTCCCAGCCACTCACCCGTCCCAGCCACTCACCCGTCCCAGCCACTCACCCGTCCCAGCCACTCACCCGTCCCAGCCACTCACCCGTCCCAGCCACTCACCCGTCCCAGCCACTCACCCGTCCCAGCCACTCACCCGTCCCAGCCACTCACCCGTCCCAGCCACTCACCCGTCCCAGCCACTCACCCGTCCCAGCCACTCACCCGTCCCAGCCACTCACCCGTCCCAGCCACTCACCCGTCCCAGCCACTCACCCGTCCCAGCCACTCACCCGTCCCAGCCACTCACCCGTCCCAGCCACTCACCCGTCCCAGCCACTCACCCGTCCCAGCCACTCACCCGTCCCAGCCACTCACCCGTCCCAGCCACTCACCCGTCCCAGCCACTCACCCGTCCCAGCCACTCACCCGTCCCAGCCACTCACCCGTCCCAGCCACTCACCCGTCCCAGCCACTCACCCGTCCCAGCCACTCACCCGTCCCAGCCACTCACCCGTCCCAGCCACTCACCCGTCCCAGCCACTCACCCGTCCCAGCCACTCACCCGTCCCAGCCACTCACCCGTCCCAGCCACTCACCCGTCCCAGCCACTCACCCGTCCCAGCCACTCACCCGTCCCAGCCACTCACCCGTCCCAGCCACTCACCCGTCCCAGCCACTCACCCGTCCCAGCCACTCACCCGTCCCAGCCACTCACCCGTCCCAGCCACTCACCCGTCCCAGCCACTCACCCGTCCCAGCCACTCACCCGTCCCAGCCACTCACCCGTCCCAGCCACTCACCCGTCCCAGCCACTCACCCGTCCCAGCCACTCACCCGTCCCAGCCACTCACCCGTCCCAGCCACTCACCCGTCCCAGCCACTCACCCGTCCCAGCCACTCACCCGTCCCAGCCACTCACCCGTCCCAGCCACTCACCCGTCCCAGCCACTCACCCGTCCCAGCCACTCACCCGTCCCAGCCACTCACCCGTCCCAGCCACTCACCCGTCCCAGCCACTCACCCGTCCCAGCCACTCACCCGTCCCAGCCACTCACCCGTCCCAGCCACTCACCCGTCCCAGCCACTCACCCGTCCCAGCCACTCACCCGTCCCAGCCACTCACCCGTCCCAGCCACTCACCCGTCCCAGCCACTCACCCGTCCCAGCCACTCACCCGTCCCAGCCACTCACCCGTCCCAGCCACTCACCCGTCCCAGCCACTCACCCGTCCCAGCCACTCACCCGTCCCAGCCACTCACCCGTCCCAGCCACTCACCCGTCCCAGCCGCTCACCCGTCCCAGCCGCTCACCCGTCCCAGCCGCTCACCCGTCCCAGCCACTCACCCGTCCCAGCCACTCACCCGTCCCAGCCGCTCACCCGTCCCAGCCACTCACCCGTCCCAGCCACTCACCCGTCCCAGCCACTCACCCGTCCCAGCCACTCACCCGTCCCAGCCACTCACCCGTCCCAGCCACTCACCCGTCCCAGCCACTCACCCGTCCCAGCCACTCACCCGTCCCAGCCACTCACCCGTCCCAGCCACTCACCCGTCCCAGCCACTCACCCGTCCCAGCCACTCACCCGTCCCAGCCACTCACCCGTCCCAGCCACTCACCCGTCCCAGCCACTCACCCGTCCCAGCCACTCACCCGTCCCAGCCACTCACCCGTCCCAGCCACTCACCCGTCCCAGCCACTCACCCGTCCCAGCCACTCACCCGTCCCAGCCACTCACCCGTCCCAGCCACTCACCCGTCCCAGCCACTCACCCGTCCCAGCCACTCACCCGTCCCAGCCACTCACCCGTCCCAGCCACTCACCCGTCCCAGCCACTCACCCGTCCCAGCCACTCACCCGTCCCAGCCACTCACCCGTCCCAGCCACTCACCCGTCCCAGCCACTCACCCGTCCCAGCCACTCACCCGTCCCAGCCACTCACCCGTCCCAGCCACTCACCCGTCCCAGCCACTCACCCGTCCCAGCCACTCACCCGTCCCAGCCACTCACCCGTCCCAGCCACTCACCCGTCCCAGCCACTCACCCGTCCCAGCCACTCACCCGTCCCAGCCACTCACCCGTCCCAGCCACTCACCCGTCCCAGCCACTCACCCGTCCCAGCCACTCACCCGTCCCAGCCACTCACCCGTCCCAGCCACTCACCCGTCCCAGCCACTCACCCGTCCCAGCCACTCACCCGTCCCAGCCACTCACCCGTCCCAGCCACTCACCCGTCCCAGCCACTCACCCGTCCCAGCCACTCACCCGTCCCAGCCACTCACCCGTCCCAGCCACTCACCCGTCCCAGCCACTCACCCGTCCCAGCCACTCACCCGTCCCAGCCACTCACCCGTCCCAGCCACTCACCCGTCCCAGCCACTCACCCGTCCCAGCCACTCACCCGTCCCAGCCACTCACCCGTCCCAGCCACTCACCCGTCCCAGCCACTCACCCGTCCCAGCCACTCACCCGTCCCAGCCACTCACCCGTCCCAGCCACTCACCCGTCCCAGCCACTCACCCGTCCCAGCCACTCACCCGTCCCAGCCACTCACCCGTCCCAGCCACTCACCCGTCCCAGCCACTCACCCGTCCCAGCCACTCACCCGTCCCAGCCACTCACCCGTCCCAGCCACTCACCCGTCCCAGCCACTCACCCGTCCCAGCCACTCACCCGTCCCAGCCACTCACCCGTCCCAGCCACTCACCCGTCCCAGCCACTCACCCGTCCCAGCCACTCACCCGTCCCAGCCACTCACCCGTCCCAGCCACTCACCCGTCCCAGCCACTCACCCGTCCCAGCCACTCACCCGTCCCAGCCACTCACCCGTCCCAGCCACTCACCCGTCCCAGCCACTCACCCGTCCCAGCCACTCACCCGTCCCAGCCACTCACCCGTCCCAGCCACTCACCCGTCCCAGCCACTCACCCGTCCCAGCCACTCACCCGTCCCAGCCACTCACCCGTCCCAGCCACTCACCCGTCCCAG